AAAAACAAAGTATTCAATAAATTAATCCGTATAGAAACAACTGATTATTATATCTGATCACATACTAATAAAGAACAGAATTAATCATGAATAGTTTAATCCAGCTCCTCTAAATCATTCATCTGTAATCTTTTGTTCATGTAATTCGTATTTGACATATAAAATGATGTCAATAATTGAAGAATAGAAAATTAAAGTATATCAAAATAGAATATTGATCTTGGAAATATTCATTTTCACTATTTATGAAGATAAGTGTGATTTTCGAATGAAATGAATCATATAATTATTTAATTTCTTTAAGATTTGTTTTCATTTTCATGGAACAAAATACACATTGAATTATTTAAATGAATATCTATTATGTTAGTTTTACAGTCTCATTGAGTACTTCAGTCTCTGTATGATATCATATACTGACTTTTCCCATTACGTATTTGTTATAGGATGAATCAGTTATATGTGGTATTTTCCTTTTCTTTCTTCTGTTCTCCAGTCGTATATAGATGACACGTACGATATACATATGTCTTTTGTTTTCTTTTATTCTCCTCTGTTGATTTAGAATAGGTGTTTTCCATCTCATCATGTCTTTTCCGACTGGTCCTTAGATTTTCTCCTAATTCATTCATCTATATACAGTTGTCGTTTGGAAAATAGAAAAGATTATTATTATCGATCAATTGATTGAAACTTTCCATTAATAGTATCTATCATCTGCATTGTATGTGATTGCTTGGAATGTCTCGTGGATGTTGAAAAAATCCATATTCAAATTTCGTCATTACTCTCGAATGTTCTGTATGAAAAAGCATAGAATCTATTTTCCATCTCTCTTTCTTTTATATAACGAGAAGCACTAAGCAGCTATTATTTCATATATTTTTCTTTTACCATGACATCAACATAAGAAGATTTCACTGTTTTTGCATAAAAGTAATGTAGTTGTGAGAGTTGCTGTTATTCAATAATGTATTCTTTTAATTTCTATATCAATTCATTTTTTGTCTTAAGATAGATTTAAACTACATATTTAGTATTAATCGATAGTCATTAACAATTTATTCGCTAAGCAAATAGTCAATAAGTTTTCATTGTTTTCTTTTCAAACGTATAAACTAAGAAAAAAAAACACCTACCATCATATTTACTTCTGAAGAAGAGAAAACATCCTTTTTTGTTTTTCTTACAAATCACTTTTCAACAAGGGCGCACCTACAGTTATTTTTTTTTTATTCTACAAAATGACACATATCAGGAACTTGTAAGATTGTTATTACTTGTTTCTTATTTCAGTGATTGGAATAATTTTAATACGTATTATCGGCCATGTTAGACGTAACAACACACGAATTAGTCTGTGGAGATCCAACTTCATATAATGGATCCTTAAACTGGTGTATTCTTAAATTACTCAATCCGTCTTCAGATGCTAGAAGTATTCAACAATTACTAATGCCTATGCTTCATTATACTGGATGTCGATTCTTCAATGAATGTTGGAGTGGAATGGCAACAGATTTATCGCTAGTTTCGTGTACACCTGAGGATCTGTCTAAGAAGTACGAAACATTAGTTTGTTTAATTTCAGTGAATACAAAAGAAAAGATAAACCCGGTATCATTTGTGGTTTACGGTGAAAAAAATCTTCAAGTAACCAAATATGTGTGTATCTTGCATAATGTGCAAGAACAACGTTATGACCCTTTGTATATTGTGAAAAAAGAAAATCCAAAAGAAAAAGAAACAATTTTTGAACTAAATGATGAAACAGCGAGAAAACTTCTTGAAGATTTTATTTTTAATCATTTTGGATGCAATATAAATTTACGAATTAAATAATAAGAACAAGAATAAAACATTATTTTACGCTACCTTTCAATTTTTTTCTTCACAAAATTCTACTAAACATCTTATCATATAGCCAAGATTAACATCTATTTTGTACTTTTTTTTTTATTCAGTATTAATTAAATCTAACTATTGTAATAGGCTTTATCATGCAAGTTTTGATTGATTCTTTGGCTTTTATCTTTGATAGTCAACTGTGAAAATAAATACACGTCTGTTTCGATTCATTGATATATTTGAATAAATAAAACATGCAAATAATTCAGTATCATTTTTTGTAGTCATACTAGACTTGCAGCAACTCAATATACGTTAACAGCCGAGGCAATATATCCAACTGTCAAATCGCTTTTGAATCGGGCATGTGCGCAAACAATAGACCTCAGTGAGTTATCAAATTTCCTAGAATGGTTTGATTTTCCAGCCTTCTGTTGTCGAGTTATGAGCCTTTTACTCGATTTTGGTTTATAGCCATAAGATTCTTCTGGGTACCGAAGTGATCGAAGTTCAAACTGAAATTTTGCCCATAGATAGGCCTTATAAGCACTAGAAACTTCCCAAAGTTTGAATCAGAACGAACGCATCCTTATCGCGATATCAGTTTGTCATGAAAATATCTCTATTTTGAAATACATCTCAAAGCAAGTGTCCCTTTAAAATATGAATATCTCGATAACGATGCATTCATTCTGGTTCAAACTGGGAACTTTCTAATGCTTATAAGACCTAACTTATGGGAAAATTTTCAGTTTGAAATTCGATCATTTAGGTACTCAGAAGAATCTTATGGCCATAAGCCAAAATCGAGTAAAAGACCTTCTGCAATGAAAACTATTACTATGGTTTGAATTCATACTTGAATTCGGAAAGCCAAAAGAAATAAAAGTTGATGATGAAATTATTCATATTATATTAATGGTTGTAGGTGATGATGATGTTAGGCATACTTGGAACTGGCCGTATTTACTTTAACCGAATCGAATCGACAACAGGCGAACCGGTTTTCCAGTCCATGTTCTTGAAAACCCAGAGTTTTCAACTCGAAAACTGCGAATAATGTACCCATTATGTTGACGAGGAGGGTGTGGGTATTGGTTATCAACAATGAAGATAATTATAGAGACAACTAAAAAAAAAAAAACTTATTTGATCATTTTCTTCTTCAGATGTTTGACACGCAAAATTGATTAATCCTTGTTGATGAAGAAAAATTCATTTTTTTTAATGCTTTATATAAAATCTTCTAAATTGTTTGCAAGTAAGTGACTTTTATAGTCCTGTATAATCTTCAATTTTTTAAGATAGCTTCACATAAATGATTGCTGGTATTATGGTTATCAATTGAGTTGAAATAATGTTGAAGTAGATAAGATGAAATCAGTTGACCTAGTTCATTCGTAGTTTAAGGGAAGATTCTATAAAAAATGCATACTTTTAACATCGTTATTACTTCAAATTGTTTGCGACGAAGATGTGGTAGACGTTAAATGACTTGCTACTAAAAGATATTAGACTAGAAATGAAAACAAACATGTAAATAAATAAATATCAAAGAATATTACTTGTTCATTCATTAATAGATATGAAGGTAATTGTTGAAAGAGTTTTTTTCATGTCTAGTATTTTAAAATTTATTTGCTTCGTAGTCGATATTTCTTGTTAAATTATCATGATACGAAAACAAACAAATTCCTTTGATTGACTGTCAGTCAATTCCAACTACATTCTATTTGATCAAGACCTTAATTGAATAATTAATTTCGTTGTACATTCATAGAGTTTCTGTTGTAATTGAATAAAATATTCTTTCAGAAAACATTTATAATACGTCGACTTTTCCAGGAATCGTTTGAATTTGACTTTGATCATTTCCTGTGACACCAAAAGTTCTTGTCTGTCCGATAGAATGAGTCATTGTCGCAAAGAAATCTATCAATGAACAGTTCATTGCTAACTTTTCTCTTATTAGGAATCAAAAATAAGAGGAAACAGCTAAGCTATAAAAAAAAACTTAATCAGTTTAAAAAAAAAATAAACAAAATCATTTATTCCAAACTGATCTGATTTTCAACATTTTTTGGCTTGATCATAAGTATTTTCGTATAATTTAAGCATTCAAGTAGAACTTAATTGTTAAAAACGGACGAGGGTGTGTGCTATGAAGTGCAAAGGAATTCATTTGTCCACACACCCATACCCACGCCAGTCATATTCTTTAATTGACTTTATATTCGTCTAGTCTGTTGGAGACCTTTATATCAATCTATTTTTTTTCTCCAACCCGAAAAATGTTTATGAACAAAGAATCAATAAATAAGTTAATATATATATTGTCTTGACATCAGCATTACAACCACATTTAAAAATGAATCAACATAATGTTCATCTACTTAATCTTTCAAATGAAATATTATTCATCATTTTGAAAAACTTGAGAATGCTCATGTTCTTTATTCTTTAATGGGTATCAACAATCAACGACTTGAAATTATAGCACAAGAACAAATCTTCACTAACATCCTTAATTTTACTTCCGCATCACGATCAACTGATGAGATTTGTTCAATTTCTTCAACAATACTTAATCAATTTTGTATCGATATATTACCTAGAATTCATAAAAATGTTAAATCGCTCATTGTTGAATCTTTTTCTATGGAATGTATTTTTGGCGTTAGTATCTATTCTAATCTTACTCAACTCAAAATTTTTAATTTCAACAAAGGAATGGTTTCACGTTATTTCATTGGTAAGATATTCATCTATACTGATCTTTTAAAAGATTAGCATAGAAAAATATTTAGATCTTCAGATTAAATGATATATGTTTTGTTTAGATGATTCTCACTTTGAACATATTTATAAACAACAAATTACAGATCTTATTCTTGTCAGTAATGATAAAAATATTGAAATATCGCAAGAAGAGTATACCAAGGATGTGTATGCAATTATTTTTACTTTCTTTGAAAATCTAAAGTATTTGAGTATTGTTTCAGCATCTACTGATGACTATCCACCTTTGTCGTTATATATTTCATCACTGACTTTTTCCTCTTCGACACTTACCAAATTATCTATCAGTTTTGATGATTTTGATGTTTGTCTTGCTTTACTTGATGGTCGTTTCAAACAATTAACTACATTCATCGTTCAAATTAATCTTATCTACCATCGGATATTAGGATCTTACAACATGGTGAGTGTCATACTTTCTATTGTTATTAGTAATATCGAATTCTAAAATCTAATTAGAAATACAATAAACATAATGAGATTTGTGGATTAATAAATATGTTATTTTAATTTTGATTATTAGAACATATGTAGAATAGATTGTTATGCTTATGTTGATCATGTTCGAGATTATTTCATAAAATAATCAACATTCATTTAAAAGTGGTTAATCAATCTTTGTAGGTATTAAATGGCTCGATAGAAAATATTTTTTATGAATTATGTTAAACTTATACACCTATAGTAAAAGAAATTGAACAGAGTTATTTCTAAAATAAACACTTTCATAAATCTACTATTCAGTTAAACTTCATTTAATTTTACTGTTAAAAATCAGCATAGTTACTTAAAAGAATGATTAGTTTTTCTTTACAAATAATTTTTCCTTGTAAGATCTATATAGGGTGTCCAGAAAGTCACTAGAGTTAGAAAAAATTGCATATCTCTCTGCTACGGCTTGAGCAAACAGGCTGATTTTTCTATCAATAATAGAAGCATGTTCACACTTTAAATCCATACAGACAAGATTAGAGAGAGCCTTTGTTAAGTACCACCAACGACCTCAACAAAAAAAATTTCACTTTTTCACAGATAGGAAAAAAACACTATACGGAGTGGCGCAAAAGTCACTTTGCCGAAAAAAAATTGAATATCTTCACTATGGCTCGAGCAAAAGAGTTGATTCTTTTATCAATGATAGAGACATGTTCAAGCTTTATATTCATAAAGACATGCCTAGAAAGATCCTTTGTTAAGTCTATTGTTTTTTTCTTATCTGTGAAAAAGTAAAATATTTTTTGCTGAGGTCGTTGGTGGTACTTAACAAAGGCTCTTTCTAACCTTGTCTGTATGGATTTAAAGTATGAACATGCTTCTATTATTGTTAGAAAAATCAGTCTGTTTGCTCGAGCCATAGCAAAGAGATATGTAATTTTTTCTAACTCTAGTGACTTTCTGGACACCCTATATAATGAATGTTATTGAATACTTTGAAACATGTTGAGAAAATTCATTCTTATATAATATTTTTATGATTTTGTCGAATTGTTCATTAGTTTCGATATATATAAATCTGAACTTAACGAATATAAAGTAATCATTTACTACTTGATAATAGATATATTTCATAGAATTCAAGAACTATATGGAAAATGAATAATATCTATGGATTAATTGTTCATATTAATTTCTCCACTGAATTCATAAAGAGAAATTTACAACATATTTATTTTCTATGTTGTAGGATTCACTAGCTAATTTAAAATGTTTCTCATTAATATGTTATAATAGTACTCGAGGATATGACAATTTAATTCTAACACTTCGTCGAATGTCATATGTTGAAGAATTAAGTTTATATATTCATATATTGGGTGGATCAACATTCATCTCTGGTATTCATCTTAATAATAAAATTCTTAGTCATATGCCACGACTTCATACATTCTCATTTTATTTCGCTTCTGAAAATACTGTTGCTGATTCAGCTATTTGTATATCTAATTCAGATATTCAACAAACTTTTACCAATATAAAACATCGACAGATAGGTTCTTTGATAGATTATGATAGTTGTAGGAAATTGATTTGTCGTGTCTTTTCACTTCCATATAAATTTGATCGTCTGACAAATATCACAAATAATACTCCAAATATTGTATTCAATTCTGTTACTCATTTGAAATTACGCGATAAATATCCATTCAAACACGAATTTTTCATTCGACTTGCTCGTGGTTTTCTATTTCTTAAAAGTTTATCTATTGATACTATTCTAGCACCAAACTGGAGAGCCGACGAATATCATCTTAAACATATTGATTGGTGCTCAATTGTTGAATATCCTCACCTTAGTTCACTTGACATCGATTCTGCAAATATTTATTATGCTGAACATTTTCTCAATGAAACAAAAACACATCTACCTTGTTTAACTGAATTAAAAATTCGCTATGAAGATTTGGAAATGGTGACAAAAAATTTTACAAGAAATGAAACACGACGTAATTGTACTAAAGTGAACCGATTAATTGTTAAAGATTTCATAGTTTATCCGAAAGATGTTTATCATTATTTTCCTTTATTGTGACTTTAATGTTGTTCTGTAGTTATCTGAATAAAAAAATCTGTGATGTAAATTAGAATTTTTTTTCTTACAACATCAATTAGCAAACGAAAAATGTTTGTTATTTATGAAGACAAAATCTGCTTCTGAAAGCTGTCGTCAACGCGATTATTCATTTTTTTCTGTATAAATAAGTGAGTACATTATAGAATCGGTGAGTGTGTGCATCTGATCGTGTATACGATAAGTCTTCAAACGGTAATCCCATTGTGATGAAATTTTGGACACTGAATTGTCTCATCAATATCCCGGTCGAGTTCGAAGATGAGAATAATTCGTCAAGAAATTGCTTAGTTATAGCAAACAATGTCATTATTTCCTGTGCTTTTCTAAGGGAACATTGGCCTATCTCGGTTTTCGTAAAAAACTTTTTCTCTCATAATCAAAACAAAACGTCAACTATTATATACCATTCGTTAGAGAATTTCACGGGCTACAAGATGGTATAAAACACAGTAAGAAACAAGAAGGGGAAATCGTATATTACAAAGATACTTACTTCAGCTGAAAGGGATGTCTACCACTTTATGAGTTGATGAACTGCAAAAACAGTACCCGCATATGTAGGCCTCGGCGACCTTTATTAAGTTAGATAGTGAGACACTGGTCAGTTTAGACAAATAAGTCATCAAAGCCTTTCTTGACAGATTAGTAATTATAGCATGTCTAGACATCAAAATTATCCTAGCAAGCCTTTTTTCCTAAAATTCGTTTCCTATTTTAGATAGTTTGATCAAAACCAATCTGTCGCCAATTACTTTTAACTTTTTCAAGCACATATAACATTGAGATTTAAATCCGAGATTTTCACATTTCTACATCATTTAGCGATGATTGAGGTACTGTGGAAAACTATGCAACAATACTAAAAGTCTGGGTTTTGTTGGTAATTAGTTTTGCTCTGGGTTTAAGTGGGTATTGACGTTTTTTAAAAAATGCGCGATCATACAAAATCAGATGCAAGAATCTTCACACACCTAGATGATACAGTATGAAAAAATTGTTTGTTGCTACGAACAATTTTACAAATGATGCAACATGACATAATTTTAGTCAATTGAAACAACTGATATTTTTAATGGATTACTTGTCTATTCTCAATATTATCATCTCTATTTTTCTTCTTTGATAAAACAAATTGAGTGGCTGCTAAGACTTTTATTTTGATTTTTTTGTCATACTGGGAGTGTGGGTTTGGGTCTGGATCTGGATCTTCTTTTCTTCCCTACCCACACCCTCTTGATATAAAGAGGAAAAATTTAGCATGATAATCTTTTTTTTTGTTCTATCAGAGCATGTCTTTTTTCCTCTATGAATCTGTTTAAACCATGAGTTACTTCTTTTTTTTGTATGTTATTCTTAGAAAATTGATTAATTGAAACAAAAGGTTTAATTATTTTCATTTTCTTTTAGGTTGATCCAAGTAAACAACAAGATGAACATTGGCTATTTGGTGAAATTGGTAATGATAAACAAGGATTTTTTTCCAGCAGTCTGTGCTGAACGTATAACGTAAGTTTTGAGAGAAAAAAAATCATTTCATCGTAGACTCAGTCAAATTATATTTTTAACAATCATGAATTTTTTTTAAAAATAAGAACAAAATGATGTTCACTTAAAGAGTGATAGAAAAGTTTAGAGTGGTTTCGTTTTCCAGGCCCTCGCCCTCTGAGGATATTGGAAATTTACTAGAGTTTTCAACAGAAAGCTGTAGTACTTCTTTACTTTTACATAGAAGAGAATTTCGAATATTGAATATTTCAGAATAGAAGATACTAGAAACGTTAAAACTTCCTTGATGAATTAATCTTATTAAGATTTTTGTATAAAATTCGAAATTGAAAGTCGATTTTTCATGGGATATGAGAGAGATCACAGCTATTTGTTGAAAAATGCAGTAAGATTTTGGTATTTCAAACAACAAAGGCTCGGAAAACAAGCCATTCTACTCTTTTCTATTGCATATGTTTCACTGAATTAACTGCTGTCATAGAAACCATGCTTTTTTTTTCATATAGGCCAACACCATCAAATAATGTTGTTGATACAACATCACAATTATCCGTATGCTGAATTGATTGATTACTGTTCGTTTTTTCATTTTATGATTTGATTTTTAGTCTGGATCATGGGTGATGACATTAGCAGAATGTCAAGGCAAAACAGTTGATAAACATTTATCATTTCAAAAAGGTGAATTTATTCTTGTACGAGAACAAAAAGATGCAACATGGTATAGTGGTCAGCTTAATGACAAAGTAAATTTTGAATTTTTATTATTTATTATTGAAATCAAACAAAATTTTTATTTAAGATTGGTTGGTTTCCACGAAATTATGTTCGACCAGCAACTGAAATTGAGATAGAAAATAATAAAAATTTAACAAAGTAAATTGATATCTTTTTGTTATATATAATTATATAAGATTTTACCTAACAGATATTTACTAAAATATTATTGATAATTATATAAATATCGTGGATGAGTATAATCATAGTAATTAATAGGATTGAAATGGTGTTTTTTTTATTTTCTTAAGACGCTTTTCTACTACCATTAGATATTACCTCCAAGCATAAAAAAAAAATTTTTAAATTGATATAAATAAATAGTTAATCGAATGAATGTTTTCCTATCTATTTAGGAAAGCATCAATAAGTGAAAAACCTTTGAATTTACCAACTTCTAATGATCAATCATCAAATGATGTCGATAATGGTAATATTAATCAATTTTAATTCGATAAGAAAAAAAAATATTTGATTTTTAAATGAGTACTCAATAGTTTGCCGTTAGTTACACAATCTTTTAATAATTTGTGAGAGTCTTAGATAGTTTTCTACTATTTTTCTTTTTGAATGTTTTCTTTGTCACTATAAACGATTTAATAATAATATTCTTTGTTTTTTATTGAACAAATTAAGGTGATGTATATGAAACTATTTATTCATATGAAGCAACTGATTCATCAGATTTATCATTTGATATTGGTAAACGTGTTATTGTATTAAAACGTGATCGTACAGGATTATTTCCAAATAATTATGTTCAGAAAGTTAATAACATACAAGAAACAGCCATTGCAATAACA